GATACTAGTTAGAAATGCAGTAATCACATGACGGTTAGTCAGAATCAGATTTGATATGATACATTTTTACAAAAGAAAAAGTCATAGATATCAAAACTACCGTAGAAAACAGGTGTCAAGAGAATCGAAGGTAAAAACTTTTGATACTCGAAACACCTGCAAGGTTGGATAGCTAATAGACGACACGTAACTTTCTAATGCTCTTGTCACGGGGATAGAATAAATAAAAGAGGTAACGCTCCAGTAACAGCGAGGTTTTTGCTCAAATAAGCAGCACCAGGTCACGCGACTCTTTTCTTGGCCACATTTCTGTGCCTAATTCGTTTGAAAAAGTGCCGTGAAGGATGAGTCACAGTTGCACTGCTCCCGATTCGCTGCGATGGAATTAAAGCATTGGGATCCGCCACTGCCAGCAGAATTTTTCTTCAAATTCACACGTGCTAAAGGTTCATTCCACAGCAGCCCACAGAATCGTTTCCATCTAATACAGCTAAAGAGGAAGAAGCCCAAGTAAACAATGGTCCTCATTAAAGTACAGGTGAAAGGAAATGTATGAGAAACAGAAGCGCCGACGCTCAAATATTTAAAATTCTCCCAAAATGCGTCCTTTGAAGAGTCTCTTCTTATGGCTCTGGGGAAACTGAGGGTTACGTTTGTTTTGATGTAAGCTAGTTGCCTAAAAAGTATGTTCCTAAAAAATTTGACATCCTTCACTCAACATGTCAGTCTACCACTCCTCACAGTTTAATTATTTCTTCCATGAAAAATCAATACGATGCGAGCCGACAAAGCGCTGGCAATTTCCTGAGGGCCTGCATGAAGTGGAAATAGAATGCAGGCATGGTGTACGCCGACGGTTATAGGACTAGAGAAAGAGCGGAGCGATGAGGCACCGTCACGATACTGATGCTATCGGGGAATGAGAGGTCTCAAAAAGCAGCTGAGGTCGAGAATAAACCAAAGAAACATATCATGACAAGCTAATCTCGGTAAGTAGAAGCAACTCAAATTTTCGAGAGCGAAAAACGAAAATACTTGGTTACAGTCCAGTGATGATATAGACGATACAAGGAAAACGCCTTACCTGCTCGTTCTTGCCTCATCGAATCCCAAACATTGCAATTAAAATCGTCATATCCTGCGAATAACAGTCGACCAGATTTTGAGAAAGCTACGCTAGTAATACCTGAAAGACTTTCGGAATTTGATTTCGAAACCATCCCTGGAACAATCAAAAGGAGAATCAAGATTTACCGCAAATAATATTGTCGTGAGAATACATGGCCAGTTCCTGATCTGCACGAATATCAAAGAGACGGCAAGTGGCGTCATCTGATCCAGTAGCAAAGGCATAACCAGAAGGGAAGAACTGAATAAATATTCTAATAAAGTAAAGCACAAAACATTCCAACCATGCTTTAACTGATTCCACTTACAGCAACAGCATTGATATCCGATTCGTGACCAGGGAACGTTTGCTTGCACATACCATCTCGGATGTCCCATAACTACAATAAGAACTCGTTTTATAATGAAGAAAACATATAGAGTCAAAGAAGGCTACTTACTTTAGCACTCGCATCACAGGCACCTGATATGAATGTACGCATGTCAGGAGCAAGACTTAACGACATAACATCTCCAGTGTGACCAGTAAATGCAGTACATTGTTGACCGGTCTCAATATCCCATAGAGCACTAAAAATAACACCGCCATGATACACTCCATCTGAGAATCCATGGTTCTATTTTCTATCACGTCATACTCCAGTCTATTCAATGGATATGAACCACCCACTCAAACGCCAACAATGAGTATAGTATTAGTGTTAGGGAGAATTACCCAGTTTCCTAGGTAACCAGAAACGAGTTGCCTACTCAACAAGCACAATCTTCCTCTAATCAGTTTAATACAAGCGAAAAAATGGCATCATTTCGCAATGCTACAAGGAGATTTGCACGCACGTGGGATGTTCTTGACAGATTCTGAACCTCAAGGAAAAATAGTTTGATCGATGGGAAATCTGGATGAACGAGTGTTTTTATCACCAGTGCACTGTCGAACTACGCAAGTAATCAAACAAGCGTTAAATCAATGCTCTTCTTATTACTAGAGTCGAGCCTGTATGATCCCCCTACCTTCTACAACAAACAAAAGGGTGGGAACGTTTTTTCTGCAGGACAACGGAACGGGTTGAGCCTAACATAAACATTTCAATCGAAGGCATACTTGTAATACGTCCCCTCATTCACCATCTTGGTGGAGCCAATTTTGCGCAAGGCGACATGTCACCACTCAAACCTTAGCGCAGGAACCCTTCGTTGCACTTTCCTCGCTGGAATCTTATTGGAATGACTTACAAAAAAGCAGAAGTGGTCTTGCATTTGCGTCATTCGCATAGCTAAAATATAAGAAACAAGTCAGGAGTCAAGGACCTACTTCAGCTCACCTATTACAAACATTGGGCGACCCAGTCGAAAGGGTTGAAGAGACAAAACAAACCCGAACCCGCACTTTGTGATTCAGAGAATATCAAGAGTAGTGCAACAAATGTCAGGGATCCGAAAAGAGAAAACGGCTGCAAATATAGCGGCTGAGAATATTGGTTAGGAAATCGAATCAAAGACCCCAATAGTCACCGCAACACTTGAAATTGTGTAGTTCGAAGACTAGACACTTAAATCGGCGTGAGATCCAAATAAATTGAGAATAGATTCAAAAGAGAGAAGTTCTCGCGATGACTTCAAGAGTCAACAATGGGGAAAACAAAAATAATGACGCTATCGGTGTACAATAAATGTTGAAGACTTTCAGAATAAAAATGTTGGAATAGACTATTTCAAGAAAAAATCGCCTAATTCGACTGAGAGTATCATATTGGTTCCGATAAAACCGCTCCTACTAATATTATTTTGATCAATGCAACAGAAAGCAATTGGATTACGTGACCCTTCGCCAACGAATCCATACGAGCGGAATGCCACAGAAGTGGGAAGAATTCGTGAAACCTCGAGAACTAAAAGCTCGTAATTTCTAAGTTGCCAAATGAAAAACAACCCTATTTATCTTAAGACAATCAGTAAAGGTTACGGTAACGGGGAAAACATTTGTTTTTGACGCATAACGATAGCAATCTAGTGACTACCGTCCAACAAATAAAAACCTATTCTAAGGCTTACGAGCTAGACTAGAGCTTAACCCCGGCCCCAATGAACGCGCGTAACAACCATAAACACGATTCAAGAAATTCTCAAATGACGTCTTTGTCATAATACAACTGTTTGCAATTTCGAAACGGAAAAGATCCTGAGTAGACGGTAGAGCGGGTGAAACGCAGAGGAGGTAAAGTGAAGGGCAGGTACTGATTAAGATCTGGTAAGATCTAAACATAGTATCAAGCAGGCAAATACACCACTGTTTCCCATGGTAAATTCTTCTCGAAGTTTTGCCGACGGAAGTAAAGGTGAAATTTTTAAAGAAGCCTTATCATTCAGTCGATTCTCGTTAGGTGTTATCGCGCCACGAAAAACTAGAATAAAATCAAATACTTTCACGAGAATGTATTTTACAAATGACTTCCACTTATTCACTTATAATTAGGATTCTTGAAAAATAACGTCTGGGACAATCAAATCTATACTTTAGAGATAGACTTTCAAATCGGGAGCCACCAGATTGTACGCGTAGGAATCCAACAAGTGAGGTCGGGTATACGGGAACCCAGAAACACCCAGGACAGCAGGACCTAATTCTGCGCAGTTACGAAGTGACTGTTAAGCCGTTTTGTCGAAGTAACTCAGTATATGTAACTAATACTCAAAGTTGACATTTGCGCATAATGAAGTCCATAACCCATCGACAGAGAGAACATCTTCGTCAAGGACGCCATGAATAAAAAAAACCTACCATGTCATATCTCCAGAAGACGTGACAATCTGGTTATCATCCAGGAATCGGCAGCATGACAGATATCCCGTATGGCCAGGCAGTTCGCGCGACACTCGCACATTTCCCTCCCTAGTTTTGAGTGAATAAATAGAGCAAATGTTGTCCAATCCTGAAATAAAAAAAAGACGTTCACCACCTCCACCAACGAGCTTTGTTCAAAATATCCTCTCCTGGAGGCCTTCGAACAGGAACGAAATTTATCCCTCTCATTACAATTCTTACCTCCACATGCTACGAAACTACCAGAAGGAGCATAGGCACACGTCATAACCCAGGATGAACGCAGAGGAATTGCATGGACCTGAAAAAAAAATTCAATTTGGCTAATGCGCAGCGTCTTGCTTCAGCAGGCTTTTTAGCCATTTGATTCTCGGTTTCCCTCCAAGTCATGAAATTTAATCGAAGCTATTTGTGGTAACGAGTTTTGTTTCCTTTGCTTATTCTTTTGAGCTCCAAGCTCATCGGTCCTTGCCTCGACCTCATCACTTTTCTTCATCAACCATTTCATTGAGTTTTTCATTACTCTACCTCCAAGTGTGGTCGCCCATACGCATGATAATCGCTGCGACACCTCGTCACCTTTCTCCTCGTACTATGCGAAACATGAAGCTAACGCATTCTAAAGGAAGGCAAACAATGTGCGTCAGTGCATAAATGATTGCACGAGGAGATGGTGATTGCGATGTGGTAGCGAGTAGCAGGCAGTATGCCGAATTGAGAGCTGCCTGGTGGCTCACGAGCGGTGGCTGCTGACTGAGAGCGAAAGAGAGGCGCGGACCGGAAATCGATATGCTACAGCAGACAGCGCTGCCATTGAGAAAAGTCATCTTGCGGTGGCTTCTCATCTACACTGCTGATACACTTAACAGCGTCCACCAATCACAACTTAAGGCTTCCCCAAGACAAAACATAAAAGTACGTCTAGTTTGACTCAAATAGCAATGGGATGTAGAGTTACCGCTGTAAGGTCAACTATCCAACCCAAGAAAACAAATCGAGACACAAAAGAAGACGTGATGTTATAGTTAAAGGATAAGTAGGAAGATCATTTTCTTATGGGATAAGGTGATCGCACAGCCGATATATCTAACATTATGCAGCTTTAGGCCAGTTCAGGAAAAACGGTTAGAAAGTTATTGCCGAAAATCTCGAAAATCGGTGATGAAGCGATTATTTTGCTTTACCGTACAAATGAGAGAATGGACATCGGCTTAGTAAAACACCGCACATACATAACTATCATAACGCTCAGGAGAATAATAGTCTACTTTGATCATAATATACAGCCGCTTACCTTGTTTGTTGTGTATGAATCCCAAACAATGAGTTTACCATCCTGGGAGGCAGATACAAGATTTCTGCTATCCGAAGCCCAATGCATTGCATAAATCTGTAAGACAATGAGACTTTTTTCTCATGTGTTCAAAGCCCAAGATACACTATCAATACCTACCTTAGCTAAATGCCCTCGAAGTGTCCGTCGAGTCCTCATCTGAATCCGTCCAATGGGCTCGAGGTTCGAGGCAACGCTCGCCAATGTGGTATCATTAGCAGCTTTTCGGGCCTCCTAAATTGCAGCAGATCATGTTAACAATATATTTTAGTATTTTTGCTTCAAATAAATCTCTAACTGAGGATTCAGCGTCAGAATCTGATAGCTACTTTGTCACAAAATCTCAAACCCGGCTTCTTTTTTGGATGAGAAGGGATCCGAACTTTGGAAATCCATTCAATCTTCCACTCACTGTCTACCTCAACAAACGTCTATTGTCAACAACCTAGCCCAAGTGCCACACAAAGATTATATGTAAGTAGGAACGAAAGGTCCCCATAGCACCCCAGAACAGGTTTTACCGTTGAACCCCTTGGGTCTCATTGACTCTATACATCGTTGATGATGACGACAAGACAGGAATAGGACTTGTACTTTTTCCTATATTCATATATGATATTCATCAAGTGATGAAATCACATCGGTGAATTATACATCATACAGGCAAATGTCGAATGACGCAAGCAATCGGCCGCCGTTATTAAGAACGCCGCTGCAACCGAGAGCATATGTCCTCTCAAGGGCCATATGGGCTTAGTTGAACAGTTGAAATTTAATGGAAACGATGGGAAAGGCGGTTTGGTAAAAGAGAAACGTTGCAAAAATAACCCTAATATCTCACAAGGTTGGCAAGTTGTGGGCGAAGCTCCTCGGACGGGACCCGAACCCATCATATCGTGATTGATATGAATCCTAGTTTATCAATATCATGTACAAGCTATCACCGATAACTCTAAACTCGCCCAAATTGTCACGCAGTTACTGTAAAAGGAACCATTGTAGTGTGGGGATGTAGTGTGAGGAGGAGGGGAGGAGGAGAGAGAGGGGGGGGGGGGGGG